CGGCGTCGTGCGACAGAACGCGTTTCCTTTTGAGAGCTGGACCTCAGTCTTGATTTGCTAAAAGGTCGCGTTACGCCAGCGCAAACGTGAGCAAGAGCCACCTCCACGTTTTCTCGCTGCACGTTCGTTGGCTTGCCGTTTTGTAATAATAACGGCCGCTACAACACGAGAGCGAGAGACGCGCCTTTCATTACGCTCGCTGCAGCGCGCCCCAAAAGCGCCTAATTGCAGAGATTAGAAACGACAGCAAAAAAAAGAAGCAGTCGCGAGAAACGTCGCACGAAGTTTCTCGCATCCTTCACGTGCGACACAACTTTGGACGGATATTTATTGTCCCTCGGGGAGCATAAATATTTTAACATCATACGGCCGAGAAACACGTCGACCTCAATTTAAGTGATAAACCTTTTTAATTCGTAAACGAACATTTTCCTTTGTATCGCGAGATCCGTAGAGGATTGGAAGAAATTCACAAAATTAACTGTTTCACTGCGACATTTCAGACTGTATCTTATTGTTAGTTCCGAAGAAATCCCGAAATCTTTCTGACATTGAAAATTTTTGCTCTGAAATTTCGGCTTCGGATGTTTCGATTTCGATGTCTTTGCGTGCCGATCGATGCCGCCTATGGCGGCGCGAGCGACCGATTATTTCCCATTACGAGGGTTCCGTAAATCGCGCGTGTACCGGCACCCTCGTTAAGCAGCCACTTTGTCTCGTTACATAGCCAGATAATGAGATTTCCTGCGTATCTGCCATGAGCCCCAAAGGATAAGAACCGATTCTCAGCCATACGTTTATTCGAACACACATGTGCTGCATACAGCACGTTGTACAAAGATTTGTATAAGACACGCTATTTCCCATTCCCTTCTACAAAATACAAATTAAAAATGGACCAATGTTCTCACAAAATAGATAACACTCGCATTGAGCGATCGTGGTGTTCGAGATTTGACGATTATAATAATTTCGCCGCAAAGAGAGCCGAGAAAAACTTTCATCGGCTAAATCTATTAGTGTTTCCGATGGTGAATTTTTCCGATTACGTTTTCCGATTAAATGACGGATGCATCCGATAAAATTTCTCCGCGATGAAACGCAGTTACCGATGAAATTTTATTGAAAGACCGATCACACTTTTCATCGGACACACAATTTAATTGGATATATCCGTTTGTTATTATGTAATTGGATTATCCGGATTATATTTAATCGGACATTTTTCTCAGTGTAGAAACGTCGGGGACTAGCGATAAAATAGCGACGATAAATCTTACTTTCCTTCGTAACTTCGATCAAATACCTCAGTAATATCTCCTTCTTTTTCGTCGGCAAAATAAGTTTTATGTAACGAATTTACATATTTCAGCAACCTCATCGAAATCGAAGCGACTAGCGATTGAGACGATAGGTGCTGGCTGTGAATTATTAATGCGGTTGAGAGAGAGAGGGGGGGGGGGCACGGATAATTCTGCAGCGAGTCGAATGTGATTACGCGGTTCGTTACACGTATCTGGCATCAATGTTACTTAACACGGTTGGCTGCACACGCGCAAAGTGTATTCATCGTAACGCTGAAAATCACATTACAGGCCGGTTTTGTAATAATAATAATAATAAGCGACGCGCCGTGTACAAGCATGAAAAACATTTTAAAATTCAATCATAATTTCGCATTTTGCACCCATCCCTCAATTATTGGTTGGCTAAATAATCCGGGGGCAACGATTATTACATTGCTGGACGGACGATTCAACGATTAAATTTCGCTGCGGATAAATGGAGCCGGTTGAACATAACGAGAGAGTGATTCGATCCACTCTTTTATCCGGCCGCTTTGGAAGCGTGTATTTTCGCTTCATGACATTATTCAATTTCATTCGAAACACTATCCTCTCGACGCATTGTGAAAAACGCTGTATAATTATCGAGGCGTTGAAAAATGCAACGCGCAAAGCTCCCTTTAAAAGGAATTAATTTTTCAACCTCACCTTTCCTGTGAACATCATCAATTATTTAATGCTCCCGTTTCATCTTTATACATTGAGAAAATGATTAATAATTTTACATCACACTGCTCGAGCGAGGCCTACATGACACCAAAGCTCTAAGGCTGCATAAAATTAACGATCGTGTAACCAGATTAAGCGTATTAATCTTTTTATAGCTAATACATCGAGCGAGAAGTGCGTTAATAAATTGTAACAATTGTTTGGCCAGTAATGAAAAAGTTGTGATAAAGTCAGTCGGTATTAAATGGATGCACTTAAATTGAATTGAATTGTTTATACATATTGCCTTCTTACAAATTCCATTCCATCGTTCTACTTTAATAAATAAAATATATTCATTTTAATGGCATCGATCGTTTATCCGTCGTCCCTGGCTGTTAATAATATTTTAATAGCTTTTAACTTCGCTTCACGTTAAATACAGCAAGTCATGAGGAAAGAGATTTGCCGAGAGATGAATTGAGCTAACAGCTTTCCGTACAATTATTCGGGGACAATCTATCTAAAATCGTCAGTGGTGCAACAGCAGCGTTGACTGCGAATCCAGCTTAATTATCGCAGACGAGGGATCTTCCGTGAAATCTCTCGCGAAACTTCGCTTGAGGAAAGTTCACGTCAACAGTGCGGAGGGAAGGCGGCGGTCTGTCGTTTGCTCGCGGATTCGCACCCCCCTATTAATAATTCGCGACAATACGCCAGGGCGAACTTCGCGGGCGAGGCGTCAGCGAATCATGACGAGTCGGCCGATTATTAAGCCGGAAATCCAACGCCTGCGATTAACGCGGAATTACGGGGACGCATTGCACCTCCTGTCGTCGCGATAATGCACGCGCGCGGAATTTAAGCTGCGGAATCCGCGCGCGAGCCTCGCGATGCGCGCCGAGTATCTTCCAAGGCGCGCCTCGGGAGATTCGCATGGAGCTGGAATTGGTGCTTAACGCTTCGCCGAAAACGTAGAGCGCGGATTTATTGCGAGAGATATAGCAAGTCGGGAACTCGATATGTACGCCAAACGTTCCAAATGACTTAACTTGCCGATTCGAGTTAGTAGATTAATAAGCGAAAACGATTCTCGCATAAACGGCGGGAGTTTCGAATTTACGAGATACTTTCGAGCGTTATATATAGAATTTACGAACTCCGCAAGCGGCAACTCAAAATAAATTATCTGGGCTTTACAAAAGTCGGCATTTAAAAATTCGATATTTATCTAAAGAGAATTATATCTAGAAGAGAAGAATGCAACGTCTAATTCTCTTCTGATGTCCAAGCAAGTTCCCTGCTTGAAACTTTCACGTTTCGAAAATGTAACGCATAATAAATTTATTATCGCCAGTAGTTAAAAACCAATGAGGTCTAATTTTAACGACCTATACTGGCCGATGCTTTCATTTTAAAAAACAACACCCGTCACAACGTTTCGGTCCCGGATTTGGACTCTTCTCAAGTAATCTCAAATCATACTACTATATAAGTATCTGGTGTCTGTCTGTCCGTCCGTCCGTCTGTCTGTCTGTCTGACCGCGAACTTCTCCTACATTTGTGGACCAATCTTCTTGCAACTGGTCTCAAAATTTTCCAAATTTTTCTGGGATTGTGACGATGGGGTTTTTTTTTCAAGTTTTGCTCACCCACGCACGCACCCACGCATTCACACTGTTCGTTTGTTTCACCGGGAACTCCTCCTGCATTTGTGGACCGATCTTCTTGCAACCGGTCTTAAAAATTTTCAAAATTTTTCTGGGGAGGCTGCTATGGGTTTTTTTTAAGTTTTGCCCACCTACGCACCCACCCACGCATTCACACTGTTTGTTTGTTTGACAACGAACCCCTTTTACATTTGTGGACCGATCTTCTTGCAACCGGTCATGAAATTTTCCAAATTTTTCGGGAAAGACTGCTAAGAGGGTTTTTTTAATTTTTGCCCACCCACGCATTCAAACTGTTTGTTTGTCCGCGAGTAAATCAGTCATTTTTGGACCGATCTTCTTGCAATTGGTCTCTAAATTTTCCAAACGGAGATGGCTGCTATGTGGGTTTTTGAAAGTTTTGCTCACCAACGCATCCACCCACGCATTACTGTCTGTCTGTCAGACCGCGAGTTACTTAGTCATTTGTGGACCGATCTTCTTGCAACCACGAAAAAATTAGAAAAATTTTCAGACTGGTTGCGAGAAAACCGAATAATTTTTTGTACAAAAATCTAAAACTACGGTTCTTTAAAATTACAAACGGTTTAATTTAAAGAACAAATCAATAAAATCCTTAGAAAATACATAGGAAATCGATATTCGATTGTGTGAATTTTGCGAAGCTGGCCGAGCGTTGCTCATCTCACAAAATATTATACAGGGTGTACCGCAACTCGTGACCGAAATTTTAATAGCGTATTTCTGAGCAAAAAGTAAGACGAAAATCCCCTAATACGAAAATGTCGAGGCTATAATACTTTTCAAATGGGAAGCATTTATAATAGACAAATCAGGTAGTCTAAAGTTCGCGCGTTCAGGGACGGTACATTGCACAGTGATAAAGGTACTCTTGCATCTTTGCCGATATACCTCAAAAAATTTTAGTAATTATATGTACAACGAAAACAAACCACAAAACTTCGTACCTGTTACAAAATTATAAAAGATTACATATTAATTGGTTGGCCAATACCACTATGACAGTCGGCTGTGTACAAGCAAGAGAGTGATTACATTATATATTATTGAAATTTTTAACAAATGTCAAGAATAAATAAACTTATATATCAGTAACAAAATAATAATTGCTCTCATCGGTAGAAGAGTGCAAAGTCCATTGAAACTGCATCGTTGATTATTACCAAAACGTTGTAACGCGTTGTTTGTTTTTTTAAAATAAAAACATTGGCCAGTGTAGGTCGTTAAAATTCGACATAACGCAAAATGTTCGTCATATAAAAATTCATTAGTGCCCTACGGACAAGGTGGATTGAGCCGGACAGACGGCGCTTACCTGGTCGCGTTGATCGTGAAGATGGTCTCGATGGAGCGACGATCGAGCACGCCGCCGCTAAGCAGATACTGGACGGCGATCAGGGCGAGGACGACGCAGGCGAGCGCCTTGAGATGGGCACGATGCCACAGTGCCACGGCTGCGGCGGCCACAGGCATTGCATGCGCGAGACACCATAACTCCCTTCTAGCCGCCGTTAGAGGAGCACCGCCGTGCACCACGAGGCACTCCTCCCTGCTGGCCGCTTCCAGTTTCAGCTGCAGCTGCAGCCCGCGGGCCAGGGACCGACCCTGCCGTAGTCCTTCTTCTCCTCCCTCGATGGGCACGAAGGGAGAAAAGCCGCCTGGGGCTCCTCACTTCCGCTCGCCAGGAGCATTACCTCCGCGGACCCTCGCGACCGTCCCCTCGGACGAAGATAGTAATATCTGCGTAACAGAAAATGTTTTGCTTTGAGGGGCCTATTCTGTTAATTCGTTTACTGGCTATTAATATCGCTATCAATTTCGAATCTATATAAAACTTTATATAAATAGAGTGTAAAGTCGGTCATGTAATTGCGCGTTAATTACTTTATCTGTAATTACGCGTAGAATGTATATTTATCGTTGAAATTTCGACACTCCGGCTCGTTGATTAATAGACGTTTTACAATTTATCAACGTGCCATTAATTTGCCCTCTCATCGATTATTCCCAATTTTGATTTGCTAAAAAGGGAGACTATTTGCGATAATATAAATAATATGTTTGAAACATGAGAGGTGTTTAAAATTTCTGAAAGCAAGTAGCAGAGCCTGTATAAAATATTATTCCTTACACACTTAAATTTAGATAGATTCAATTGCTTCATAATTAAAACATTTTATTACTCGATTCTTTTCTACCGAAGAAATTATATAAGATTCAAATAAAAAAAATGTGATGTACGTTCTTCTTCTTGTGAATGAAGAAAACTCATTTGAGCGTGATATGTACTTATAGAGATGCGAATTTTTCACGAGATCTTTCGCTTGACCTCGCCTCGAAGCTAATATCACGCAGGGCCATTAACACCGTAAACTGTAAAATTTATCGCAAGGCAGCCTGGAAAAATGTAATAATACTGACGGTATCGTATACCTTCCGAAAGTTACGACCCGTGCTCGACAAAATAAAAAGAAAGTTCCTGAAGATACTGTAAATTAAAAACGTTGCAGGAATACTAAAAACGAACTTACCGAGAGTGTTATAATTGTATTGCCAATTTTTATCGAAATAATTTCATTGCAGAGTTCAGTTCTTTGATGTCTGTGCGCGAAAGCAATTTTGACATTATCTAATTTCAAAAGCGTTAACATATTTTCAGCTTGCAAGAACAGCCCTTCATTAAGTAATGCAGAATTTACTAAATTTAACATATAATATTTTAAAAGAAAGATAAAAATAGAAAACCAGTTGTTTGATGAGAAAGAAGTATGCTTGCCGTTGTTTTTAATAATTTAGAAAATTGTGCTTCTGCAACGCAATATGAATACACTTAGATATTCGTTTGCGCAAATCTCATGCGGCGGTAATAACATTAGCGAGACGCAGCCGAATCTGATACGTTGTCGGGAAAATCACTACATTATCGGAACTTCATCGGATCAAACTACAGCAGTTACTCTAAACCACGCGGACCGAAACTAATCCGAGTTTATGTGCCGGGAGCTCCTGAATAGTCTGTTTAACGAGTTGGTGGACTTATCGACTTGCGATGGTAACTCACTCGATTGTTTCGGCGCAATCTTTATTATAGTAACTCGTCAATTAAAAAGTGATTATCGGCCTTCATTAATAACGATCGCGATTGCAGATCCTGGCTCGTACCCGCGTATATTCGGCAGTCTAGATTGATTAATCTGTTGATTAATTAATTGGCAAATTTACCAGACTACATGGACAAATACGCGTACGTTTCTATCGCGAGTGTAGATTTGACCGCACGATTCCCGCCAAAGCGGAATTTGTACTGACACAGCAAGAGCATGATCACGGAAGAAAACTGTTGCAATTGCAAATTTGGAAAGTGGGATAAAATAAGAGTCAAATGAACACGCTGTGTCGCACGGCCGATCAAAAGCAATTACAGAGGAAAAAGTTAAATCCTAACGGTCTGTAAGCGTCATTTCCATTTTATATACTCACCATAGTTTTTTCCACCCCCTGGATTTTTCCAGCCAACCCTGATCATTATTAGTTGATCAGCCTCATATCATCGTATAGCGTACATTTATTATCATAGAAACGTATGCCACTCAGAACGCATCCGTTTGACTCGTTCTTTATCAAAGCTCTCTTTTATTCTTTACTGGTATATGAACGTACACGAATATTCACGTATTTCGTGTTAAGAAGGGGCCTGGAATATTGCTTCCGTCCTCTCTATCTTGTCTTTTGCGTGCTTCGACGTTCAACAATGCTAAGGTAGGTCGTGCTCTCCGTCTATTCATACCGTGCGCGCCTATGTTTAATATGCAGTCGTAATTCCAACCCTCTCCCAGTAATTCCTCTCTCTCTCTCTCTCTCCCCCTCCTCCCTCCCTCTCTCTCTCTCTCTCC